AATAGAATTGTACGTATGTGCACACCTGAACTCATTACTTTGCCTCATTTACTCAGCCGCTTATTTCTCACGTGCACTCATTGATGTTCTCACACGCGTGCATCTGAACAAACGCATACACACATGCACACGCACAATCATACGCCTCCTGCTGGGATGCCTTCAAAGCCCTTCGTCGCCCCCCTGCGATAAAACTGGCGCAGGGAGAGAGAGTGGTGGAGGGGACCCGGTTATCTCTCCCACCTCTCCCCTATCTAACCAACCCCCTCCACCACGCCAACTCCCCCAAACCTCCTGCTGTGTGGCCTTCAAAGACCCCCATGTCACTCAAGTAACCCTGTAGCTTCACTCCTCCTCATCCTCCTCTTCTTCCTCAATGCCTTCCAGCCTTCTCTAACCTCGCCACCGTGCACCACACTCCCTTTGTTACCAGCTTCTCACAAGGTTACAAAACACTGAGGAGAGAAAATAAATAAATAAATAAGAAATAGAGGCAGGACATTTCTTGATGGGGGTTGCTCTTCTGACAATCAGTACAGCATGATGTAAAAATGGTGCTCTGTTCCGTTAGTCAGTGAATACCGGTTCTGTGCCAAACTGCCTGCTTTGGCAGATTCCCCTTTCTCTCTCTGCTGTCACTAAGGAGAATGGGATTTTTCTTTTTTATGTGTTGGAGGTAGGGACCAAAGCATGTGGTGCTCTGTGAGTCTAATTAAAATGACTTGGCTATTTTGCCATGCGATGGTGTCTCAGAGAGGTGGATGAGAATTGAAACACTTAATTTTGTTTCGCTTGGTTCCTCCTCTCTGTGGAGTTGGACTGAGCTGAGCCTTGATGAGAGTGCAGATTTGACAGCTGTGCATGCATGCGAATGCATATTTGTGAGTGTGTGTGTGTGTGTGTGTGTGTGTGTGTGTGTGTGTGTGTGTGTGTGTGTGCACTACAAAAATTTTAATCAGTCACTTAATTTGTATTCAGTCCTATAGTCATAAATAATTTAACTTCCAATGCAGGGGCATTAAAATGTCCTGACCACAAAGTGTAGAAATTGTGGTGCTCTTGTCAGGCAGTTTATCAGCTGAGTTTGACTTGAGTCATGTTTGTTTTATTGATGTTCCTGTAAAGAGGCATGAGACTGATTTCTTAGACTTCTTGATGAAAGATATACTGCCAAAAATGTCCATCTTGTATTACTTCATCCCATTATCTGTCTTTACATCTGTCATCGTACGCAGTAAAACAGTCTAGCTTTTGTGAGACAAATTTACTTGTGTCTAATGCAACCCAGCCTCTTTCAAAAGCCTTCCTTTATTAACTGATATTTTCTATAAAAGCACAGAGTAGTTTTCTATCTTTGAAGATTCTGTCACTTGTTTTGAGGAAAACTCATCCACCAGGGAAAACTGCATAAGAACAATCTTTGTACAAGAAACTATCTCTGTCTAAAGAAATAATTGCATGCAAACTAGTGTTTAAATTGCATTTTTTTATCAAACTGAGCTGCAGATTTTGAAAATGGCTGTGTTAAATGAATAAATTCAAAACATCGCAATTTTTGGAATCCAAGTTGTGGAATTTAACTATGTAGTGAGTTTTCTTTATTCAAATTCCCCTTCCTCACACAGAACAGTCATACAGAAACATAGCTTTTACTTCCTAAGTTGAACTGGAGGGCAGCCTCCTCTTCTAAGGTTAACATTCTTCACTTAGTCTGTCGATTTTATTAGCCTGGTTCTCCTTGTTTAAGAAAAGCAAGATTTGATGATTGAATTTTCAGACAAATTGTGCCTGGATGCATTTCTTTCGGTGTGTTTGTGTATGTGTAGAAAGAGAGGAAGTGACAGGTCCAACCCCTTCAAACAGCCCTCTGGCCCGGTAGCGTGGCATGATTCCACCTCAGCCTTTCTTGCCAGCTTCCCTCCCCCTCCTCCTCCACTCTCCTCCCTCCAAGCTTGGGGCCCCAGGGTGCCTGCAGCCTGCCTGTACTGGGCTATTGATTGGGAACAGGGCTGCAGCTCACCTGCTAATTGAAAGCCGATTGGGGCCCTGGGGCAGAGCTGTAAAACAGGCCCCACGTGGCATTAAAAGCTGAAGGCTGACGGGCCACTGTAAATCCAGAGCTGCTAATAGTGGTGGTGTATATCCATCTGTGTTAGAGCTGGATGAGACTGTGTGTGTGTGTTTCCATGTGTGTGCTTGTTCTGTTGTATGTGTGCACACGTACTCGATGTCAATGCATGTGCGTTAGCATCTTAATGTATGTTTGCACACATGTGAACTGTCTTCAGGTTAAACACATTAAAATGTGAGTGCAAGTTCGACTAGATACATCGGCATATTATGTGTGTGTGTATGCATATGCATATAGACACTACACACACTCACTTACACACATTCATACACAGGTGGTTCATGGTGACAGTCTGGTCTCCCACGGCACCAGGAGAACAGTCTCGTCTGTAATGGACACATCCTTTCTTCAATCCTCCTGACAACAGCAGCAACAGCTCTTCATCCCTCCCTCCCTCCCGCTCCCTCCGTCTCTCTCCCTTCCTCTAGCTGTCTCTTCTTCCTTTGTCTCCGCACAAGTCACACCTGTGATCCTCCGCTGAGACATCAGCTTTCGAGCTGAGCTTCATTTTTTCCTTTCCCTCCCATTATTTCTCATTTTTTCCATGACTGCTTGTCTCCTCTCTCATCTCCCTTTCTCTCATTTTTGGTCCATCTATGCACCCCTTAATTGTAAAAAAAAAAAAAATCGTGAAAACAGCTCAAAAGCAACCTGATGTGGACTGGGACACAAACTGCGTCCGCATACTTTTGGCCACAGTGTATAGCTATCTGTCTATCTACAGTATCTTTCTCCCCTTCTGACTTAGTTTTTCTTCCATTAAATCTCACTCTGCTCTCCACTCTCCCTCCCACTCCGACTCTCTGTCTGTCTCTCTCTGAGCAGTGTGATTGAGTAGGAAGGGGTGCTGGCCGTCCTGCAGCATGGCGCATGGAAACAGAGGTTAATTGGATTGTAATTAGAGCGGAGGTGATTAATTGATAGCATCTGTAAATTTGGATGTTTCCATTGTAAATGTGACAAATGAGAGCGTGGCAGGCCGGAGGAGGAAGGGCAGAGAGAGAAAGAGGAGAGAGAGGAAGACACACACATAGGAAGAACGGAGGAGGAGATGCGGAGATGGTAGAGGGAGAGAAAAAGAGAGAAAGGAGTGAGAAAGAGAGGTTTATTTTTAGTTAGTGCTAGTCTAGATTCGATGGTAGTTTATGGCAAGGTTGATAAATATGACTCACTGCTTGTGTGATAAAGCCAGTAAGGTTTCGAATGGTTAGAAATACTTTTGATTTGATTTTGTGAGGAAATGGTAATGCTGATGAGTGTTTGATATGGTGGAAGTGGTAATGATATAGGTTAAATTCCCAGATCAGGGTCAGAGATGCTTAAATCAACTGTGTTTTACGGCTGCCCCCCAGCTAAAGATTTTCCTAGTCGACAAGTTGTCGCTGTTAATGGAAAAAGCGGTAATGATTCTGAATGTGTGAATATTTAAGTCTTGTTCAGATCACGGCACAAATAACTTCACCAAAACAAATACTCACAGACGGATGATGTATAACGTTACCCAGAAATGAACTGGTTACAAACTTGCTCCTCTTCCTCTGTTTCATGCCTTTCCTGTCGCTGCCTGAATCTGCTGCGTCTTCATCCCCAGAGTCGTAGTCTTGTTAGGAGCCTCTGTAAATCAGCTGGCCTCCGTGGGTCCGCCCTGCTCCCCGGCAGTATTCCCCAATGGGTTCCCCGCTCCTGCACTACTAGAGTATAAACTCTCCCTGTCCTTTGAGCTTCCAGTCCGGGTACAGACAGCTAATAGGGTCGCTAACTAGCTAGTGGCAGCAGCCAGTACAGTTAGTAGATGCAACAGTGCACCGGTAAGTGACTCCCTGTGTTACAAGAGAAAAGATCCATGTTGCAACAATCCCTTATGCACTCTGATATTCTCGCTCATGAACGGAGTTCTGCAATTATCCGACTAATAAAAAGTGGGTTGACTAATACTCTTCACATCTACTAATGGTTAAGTTGACTACTAGGGGGCAGCCCCACTGTGTTTATTCACTTTCTTGCTGAGAGTTAGGTAAGAATATTGATACCACTCATATCTGTACACTCAATGTAAAGCTATCACCAGCTGAGTATTAGCATAGCATTAAGACTGGAAGCAGGGGAAAACAGCTAGCAGGGCTTTGTACCAGAGGTAAAAAAGAGCCTGCACCTCGGACACTTACTACTTAACATGATACATTTGTTTAATCAATACAAAAACTGAAGTGCAAAGACGACAAGTTGTGGTTAAGCTAAGCTAGCTTGCATGCTTCTAGGCTCAGTCAGTCTTCTAACGTAACTCGTGCTATATTCTGTTTCTTTTTCCAAAATGTTAAATTATTCCTTTAAAGGTCCAGTGTGTAATATTTAGGAGGATCTTTCGGCAGAAAATGAATACAATATTCATAGATATGTTTTCGTTAGTGTATAATCACCTGAATCCAACAAATCCAGCGATCAGTTTGTGTGTCTTGCGCTGCCGCCATTACTGCAGAGGCAAGTCATAGTGACTGACTGCTGCTGCCTGCTGGGAGTGACAGCAGCATGGGTAGTGGGATTGACGACGTTAGGCAGTGGGCCCCAGTTGCTGCTGATGGTACCTTATATGGATGGCGATCTTAGCACTATTGAGATTGTACACTTTAGTTAGACATTTGTTATGACAATAGCCAGAAATAGAGAATGTAGAAATGGAGTAAAAACAGACTGACCCTCTGCCACATTTCAACTGATGTACTGTGTAACACTACTGTACTAGGTAGCTAGCAGAGTCAATTAGAAGTTGCATTTAATCATCACAGACTAGTTATATTAGTAGAAAATGGACACGTATAGGGGCACTCTTCATGAAGTAAAGGCTTGTGTTTTTCTTTTTCAGTTTTTTTTTTCCAAATTGGTTTGCCACTACTGTTAGAGCAGCAACTGCACAGGTTTTCGCGATTCCCTAGACATTGTTGTAAAAAGTGACGTTATAGAAAAAGTAAAGGGGAAAATTGGACATTGTACACTTCTTTGGACAGCTTGAATTTAAACTAGGGCTGTCAATCGATTAAAAAATGTAATCTAATTAATTACATACTCTGTGATTAATTAATCTAAATGAATCGCATATATAATTTTTGCTGTGAAAGTATTTTAAATATTTCAATTTAAATGAATCAATGAATAATCAGCATTAGTGACATTAAAGTTCAAAAACTATTTTATTACTATTTTCACTGTTCAATAATGGCCATAACAATCTACAATAATATGACCTAATATGCTGAGGAAATAAATTCAGAAGTGCTTCAGGAAGAATTTTTTTTCACATACAAGGCATTTCAGGCCACAATTATAACCTAGAGGACACAATGAAAATAAATGAACACTCCCCTCAATGTCAACACTATTTCTCCTGTATGTGCCATAAATAAACTCAGGCAACAGAGACCAAAAGTTTAACATAGTGCAATATCAATTGAACATAAACCTTCAATAAAAAATCAGCCCCTTTTACCACATTTCACACAAAAAAAAATCAACAAAGCAACAATTTCTCATTTTCAAGTTGTAGTCAGACACATCTGCCTCACTTCTACTTCTCCTTCAGCCAGTCACTGAGACAAACTAGCTTCTCTACATTCTCAGAGCTCAAGGCTGCTCTCTTTTTTTGGACTATGTTACCTGCAAGTGAAAAAAGTCTCTCCCAAGGGACAGAACTGGCAGGGGCAGCCAGATATTTGTGAGCCAGGACAGACAGCTGTTGATGGGCTCCTGCATGAGTTGTCCACCACTGCAGCGGGCATTCCTCCATGCTAATGCTGGGCTCTGCTTTGTAGTGGTTCAGAGCCCTGCTTGGTTCCACCGTGTCATCATCTGGGTTTATTTCGCAGCAGTACCTGAAGGCTAGTCCACACCTCTTCTCTGTCTCCTTTTTGAAGATACTTCAAGTCCTTGAAGCGTGGGTCCAGTGCTGAAGCTATGTTGAGCCATCCATTGTTGAGGTTTGCTTGCCATTCAGACAGGTCCTTTTTAAAGGCAGTCTTGAATTTTCCAATGTAGGCTGGGTCCTCCTCCGAAACTTCCATTGTGTGGTACAGGTGGCAGAGAGCAGGCAACACCACAGAGCAAGAAACATAAGTCTCACCTCCAAGGAGCTCAGTCACATATCTGCAGTGGATGATAAGAGATGCACACTGTACATTTATTATATCAGTGTCATAGTAGTAGCCTAGCCTACTTCAATAATTTGTAAAATAAAGTACGGTAAATTTCTTCACAATAAATAAAAAAAGACGTTTTGTGTGTGTGTGTGTGTGTGTGTGTGTGTGTGTAAGCTTTTACCTGCAAGGTTCAAGGATGGCTTCCAGCCTCTGAAGTTTGTCCCACTCAGATGTAGTCAACATAGTCAGCTTGTGCTTCTGTCTGCTCCGTGTAGCCTTGATGGCCTCCTGGTTCTTCAGGAGACGAGAGATCATGGCGAGTGACGAGTTCCATCTTGTGGGAACGTCCTGAATCAGACTTTCTGTCAGTTGCCCAAGTTGATTTTGCTGCTGGTGGAGCTCCTCTGTATTGGCAGGGCTATGTTTAAAATGTCCCACTATCTTACGACACTTTGTCAATGTGTCACTAAACCCACTGTCTGCGAGGCAAACAGTGATGCTTGTCTGTAACATATGAGCAACACAAGGCATGCGCTCATATGGAAGCTTTCTCGTGGCAGCAATCATGTTTCGGGCGCTGTCTGTACAGGCTATTTGCAAAACCTCTGCTAACCCCCTGTCTTCTATCACCGAAACTGGTCTGCAGGACATTGCGATCCATTTAGCCAGGGAATTGCTCAATCGGTCACATACAGATTTGCTAAGTTTACGTTTCAGTGTTTGCTCCAGTGTGGTTTGAAGATGAGGTTGACTGCTAGAGTTGGTATCATGGGACATGCTAGGTCGTAGGCCTACCTCCGGATTAACTCCTGGATGCTTTGCATTGATGTGGTACTTTAGAGTTGACAATATGCAAATTCCTTGCTGCAGACATTGCAGAGGACTTTATTTTTATCAACACTTCCATCAGGCCGTTTTTTATAAGTAAATGTTCCAATCAATGATCCAGGCAGCGCGTTCTCGTCTCCCTCCTTCATTTTACAGTCTAATGGTGGTGACTGACTAGAACGACTCCGGGTCAAAGGTCAATACGGAATCGATTAATCTGCGTTATTTTTTTGTATCCGTTATTTTTTTTCAAATTGATTAATCGAAATTAACGTGTTATTTTGACAGCCCTAATTTAAACACATGAATATTGTGGGGAGACACCTCCGCGGTACTTCCCACATCACATTCCCATGGCATCAAATACAGACATGAGCGGTGTTCAGTTAGTTGCAATCTGCAATTTCACAGCTAGATGCCACTAAATCTTACACACTGGTCCTTTAAGTTTTGGCATGGTTTTGGTGCAGCAAATCTCAAGGCAAATATTGTCGACTGACACACTGAGAACTGATATTTCCATTTAAAGTTTGCTTTGACTGGCTCACATTCAGTGAACTGTTGGCTGTCTCAAACAGATCTCTCCCACAACAGTTTACACTTTACACAGTTTAGCAAGCTTCCATTATTACGCATGGTAAGCAATGATTGTAGAGGACGCTGGCAAAAAAGTTTAATGCACAGCGATGACACATTGCTGAAGAGATTACTTTATACCGTGAATGAGCCAATTCAATGCCTTATCCTAAAATCACTGAGAGAGAGTATAACAAATGATAGTCTAACTTTCCATAGTTCCTTATAGTATTTTGGCTTCTCAAAATCATTCAAATTCATAGATGTATTATTCAACCTGGACTTTCTGGATCATATTTCATTCATTATCTGATCAGCTAGCCACAGATTTTACTATTAATGTAACCTCCCACTCAAATAATTCATGCAATATATATAATCATTATCATATCATTGGTTTTCTTCTCCTTGTACAGCTCCCCAACCCCTTTTTTTTTTCCAAGGCCGAACAAAGCAGAATCAAGACAACACAACTTTAAACTTTAAACACAAAATGTCCTATTGAATTACTGTAATAAGAGTGTTAGTATTTTAGCCGTTCAGATACTTTTGTGCATTTTTATTTATGCACAAAGCAAGGTCTGTAGTGAACACACCTGTTAGCCTGAGTTTTATGTTTTGTTCTGTGAAATAAATCCCACCCGTTATATAACAGTTTCTGATGACACACAATGTTAGCTTTCTACTAGCTACAATCTTATTCTTCACATATTCTTACACATTTTGGTTTCAGCTCGAGGTTGCTATACAGTGAAACGCCCATTAATCAGGAATTTAAATATATTGTTATGTTATATTGACATGATGAGTTTTAACAGCATTGGTATCATCAGTGGGACAAGGGGCAACACAAATATATAGTGATATAAAAAATAGGGATTTTTGCTTTAACAGGGGTTTAACAATGTATCGTCTTGATTTTAAAAAACAACAACAACCATATTTTAACAAACCATTATCTATTTAAGAGAGTATGTGAATATAAGTTCACAACAAGGCTTGGTTTTTTATGTATCCTAAACCCAACGCAAATATCCTGCTGAAAATTTGCCAAAATAATCCGCTGTAGGGTGACCTCCAAAAAGTGTCAACATTTACAATTGCTTTAAACGTATAAAAATTGTTCTTTGCAGTTCTAACATCAGTGCTATTTTTTGACACCACATTTACATTTACGGTTGTCTTCTTGTCACAAAATGAACTCTGCTTGCTATTTGAGATAAAATAAAACAAGGTTTAAAACTCAACAGAAAATTAAATGTTTTGTCAAAATGACTTTTCCTCCTTCATTCCTCTAATATTTAATCACTATAATCTGTCTTGGACTGTGACATGTACTGTTTGACTGCTCTTGCTGCTAATAATATTATGACTCATACTGTTTCTCACATGGAGATGTATGCTAAAATGTAACATATGGAGAGGGTGTGAAAGATGCACCATGTACAGTAAGGTGAGTGTGTCTTTGTCACCAGTAATATCTCATGCGAAGACGCTTTGAGGCATGACCCTTCTAATAATGCTCTTTATATACACCATATACTTTCAAATAAAATACCCTGAAATTCTATTATTATGCACAGTACTGGACAACATGTAATGCATTTACAAGTTGACAACATTCAGAGTAAGGCCCTGGGATAATGGGATAGTACAAAACCAGTGCAAGCAATCAAATTAAGGCATCATCCAAGCACAGAGAAATTAACAAAGTTGTTTACATCATCTGAACACATAAAAATCATTATGACTGCAGTTTTTACAGTCACAAGTTCTCCAATCTAATTTCTTGGGCAGGTTTCACAACTATGAAAACCTTTTCATGGAGTTTAAGGACGGCTCACGATGGCTCGTGTGGTTCGTTGCTCAACGGAACAAATTGTTCATTAACTGTGGGCCTAATGCTCTAACAAATGTTCCAGGAATATTGCTGCGGTGGTCCACACGAGGATGGAATTAAGCTAATCAAATAAGCCTCCAGTCAGGTCCTATCAGACAGCTCCAGACTGCAGCAAATGAGCCCACGTCGCAAAATTTACATTTCATCTTCCCCAGGGGACAGGTAGGGTCCCACCTCGCCACCACTTTTCCCCCCAATCAGCATCTGGCTCCTGGAGGAAGACGAGGGAAATGGGGAAAAAGAGGGACGCGGTGGTTCCAGGCCATACCACGAAGCTGCTGAACCTCTCTTGCCACTTCCTGGGCACGCTTCCGATGAATAAGGGAGAGAAAATAGAGAAGATGACAGCAGGGGAAATATTTGCTGTTGTGGTTGGAGCACCACTCAGATCCCAAGAATGAGGGCCGGGCGTGTTTGTGCAGCTGTCCGTCTCCCAAGCGCTGAGTGTATGAGTGTGTGCCCGCTGGAGTCTGTTTGTTTGTCAAAGTCACTATGCCTTCACTCTGTCGGTTATTTGTGCCTTTGGTTGTGTATCATTTTATATATGTGTGTATATACAGTACATGCATGCATGGGCATTAGAGTGTGTGTGCGTGTGTGTGTGTGAGTGATTGAGTGTGTATCCAGGGAGAAGCAAATCCATCTGTCTTTCTCGGATAAAGATGCCAGAAACAAGGAAGAAGGAGAGATCCTGCTCCAAGAGAGGCTGGGGAAGGAAGGAGAGCCAAACAGATGTCCCTAAAACTCCTAACTTGTCTCCTTGTCACCTTCCTCCTTGCAGATGTTCAACTTGTCATCATCCATTTTTATGTGGAGTACTGGCCTACAGTCTCAAGAGAAGATTCATGCATTTGTTATTTTCTTAACATATTTGGAACTCATATTCCAGCAATTTACAGACACAACTGGACAACAAGGCTAGAAAAGAAATATAAATAAGAATACTGTAATATTATTATTACAAATGTTATTTGTATTGATGAACTTGCTGTACTGTAATTTTAGCCAACTACAACTAGAAGGTTTATGTATCCTCTGCTAACGTCTTGCCCTCTTTTTGAATTGATTTTCTTGATGTAAATATTGATTTTTACAGTCTCCCAATTGTATGGTGGGGTTTCGTGCTACTTAAATTTTCATGCCGGTAACCTGATGACCTGCAATCTCAGGTATCTGAAACACTGCCAAAATCAAACAACATTTGATCACCATACATCTTATAATATACTGTACATGGAGGATTGCGTTGTAAATAATGCATAAAATGTATTTTCAAATAAGATGGAGTCATACAGGGTTTACAAAGTTAGCATCAGTGACTTTATTGATGGTTAATAAATAATTTATTTATGCCTTTGTGTCGAGCTTTTTTAATGTAAAAACACTTTCCATATGATACTTACAGTAAATAAAAAGAAAAATTAGACTACTTTTAAAAAGACTCATATGGGGTTTAAAAAGTAAGCATCAATGACTTTATTGATGATTAATAAATAATTAATTCATGCTTGTGTCAAGCTTGTATAATGTATAAATAACATAAACACTTTTTGTTGTTGCCAAGTTGTAAGCCCAGATTTAAGTGAGGGTTTATATTATCTGCCAACATAGTTTAGGCCTGTTTCTTTTGGTCGCTCTTTAATTAATCACAAAGGACCCTCCCCAGGACTGTTTGGGCCCAAAACTACCAAACAAAGACTCACTAACACACATTGTAACTGCAGGCTTAATGGCTTATTGTAGAGGGGAACATGCATAACAATTTCATTGATTTACTAACATTTATTACAGCAGACCTAAAGAATTTTAATTATGAAGGTTTCTGGGTTGTCACTTTTGAATTAGACATTAGCCGTTAAAAGTCATTACATCCAAACAACAACTTTAAGGACACCAGCCTTATTATTAAGCAGCACTGTAGGTGACAATTTTGGAAAACAACATTAAGTGGAGAAGGTGGGAAAGATGATTAAATAATGGAGCAATATACATTAAACAATGCCTATTTTGTTATTCTAGGGCTTACCACCTGCAAGGAGGAGGGCAGGGGTGTCATTCATAGCCAGGCAGGAATCCTTATAGCTCTGACTTATGTTTCAAAAAATGTGGCATCAACACTTCATTACAATAATAGGTTAAGAAAAGCACATGTATGATTAAAGAGTTCCTCAACTCTGTGTTAAAATGAGCCAGTATTGGCCCAATGTTCATCTCTCCTGAAAAAGGGAGCTAAAGAACAACTTGTCATAGTGGTTTACATTGTACTTGGCTTCCACCAAGCTAATCTTGTTACTAAGTTTGATGAGAAAATTTGCATACCAAATTAGCACTGACAAATGACCCATTATAAAGTTTAAATATGTTAACAGAATAGTGATAGGTTTGGGCTCCCCAAGATGTCAAAACTGTGTTTGGCATTCACTGAGCACACTCGATGCTGTACACACACCTTGTGTGCTGTGAAGCAAACTTAGATTTGACCTATGTAGTTGGTCAATAACATGTACTCTGTGTACTTCACTCCCTCACTCCAAAGCACTCTAACTTTTCCCTCTCCAGGACTTTCATTTTCAATGGGTAAAAACAGTTTCTCACAGAAAATGTTGCGTAAAGGAAGTTTGTATTCATTGAATGTGTCTATGAAGACCTGTAAGAAGCTCTCCATAGCGGTATTAAGCACAGCTATAAATGTAAAAAAAAATCTGTGCTTTTGAAATGCTGCTTAAGATGTGCTGAGTCATGTTGGAGTGAGAGTGAAGATACATTTTGTGTTTTATCCAAGTCAGATGTAGGTGGTTTTGAGGTGAAGTGCCTCTAAACAATGGCTCTGAATGCTGGCATTGCGTGTAAATTATGTGCTGCAGATTCATCCAGTATGGATGGACAGTAAATCCTCCAAATACTTTGTCTCCAAAGCACTGAAACCACAATTACCACCAGAAAAAGTTGTTGATCACTAAATGCTGATGAAAAACATTACTATTATAGCATAGCTTGAAGCTTGAATGTTTAACTGGTTAATATAGTTAATTTGTGAATGACAAGCTGTATAGGTAAATATCTCTCTACAAGAAACTAATGTCCATGCATTGACATTGCCACCATCTTATGTGAGGAAACTATCCCTAAGTTTGAGAGGAGGTAGAGACTAATCCCCTGCTAACATATTACTCTTATTACTGAATGAGGGAGAGTGCAGAATATTGGTGATATCACTGGGACCCTGAAATGGCTTCCACATGTTTGCATTATCTGATGAACATGATTCAAGAGTCTTGAAATATTTTCCCCAGGTTTTCTTAATCTGAGGAAGGACTAATATCACTCCTCCAACTCCTCTAATTTCTGCTGCGGACCTCCCTTGCACATTCCCTAATTTGTTGCATTGCTTTGGGCCAGTTTCTTTGCATACTCTCACTGAGAATGTGTCACATATGAGGCTCAAGTCCCCTTGGTAGTATTTCCACAAATTTATTCAGAGAGGTTATGAGGGCTGTAGGCCCGGATTTGCTTCCTATTCAAAACAGCTCTCTTCCATCTGGATGTGTTCCAGATATTTTTCTTTTTTGTGGGGGGGGGGGAAATTGAGATGATCTGGCCTTGATACTAGGGGTGCTCAATAGTGTTTACATTTTTAGTAGATTTTTTCATATGTTGTTCTGAGGGTTATCAATGATTTATTGGTGGTTGTTGATTCAGAAGAGTGCACCTATTGACGTTAGCACAACCTTTGACACTATTGATCATGCCACTCTAATCAACAGATTAAGGCAGAAGGTGAGTGTTTATGTCCTATATGAATTTCTTCATCTGAATTGATGGTTTTATTTTGTCAGTGTGGATAGATCACAGGGAGAGGCCTTGGTACTGATTGAACAGAACTAAAACAACGATAGGCTCCCTGGTAGTCTGCTATCAATTATTTGAACATCTCACTTTAACCATTCACTGGAGGAAAACTGCATTCAACCCACAGTATGTAAACACAACAATCTACCCACAGATCTATCTGACTATCTGGGTGTTTTACTCTTTTCACCTAGAGCCAGTGGACAAGTCATTTAGAGACAAAAACGATACCACATATTGGGAAACAAAACTATACCAAGAAAAGATGGTCCACAGTTTCACTACATCAACAACAAATTCTCATCCCAGGTTGTCAAATAGTCACACCTGATGTCTCATACAGAAGCACTAAACTTAGTTTGTTTTCGGCAACAAGACTACTTGGTTAGAGTTGGGAAAACATCATGATTTGGGTTAAGTATGTGACCCACGTAATACACTATTTAATGCTGCCTGCCTTAGTTATTCCCCCTTTTAATACTGCAGAGCATACACAAAACGAACAAACATCCTTTTACTGACTTTGGTAAGCATTTTTGTCTTTTAGTAATAGTGAGAGAAGAGAATCCTGTGCTCTTATAGTTGAGGTTCAAGTCATTTCCAAATTGTGCTGCATTCTACAGCCAAAACATTAACAGACCACAGCGATACCTTCTCTGAATTTGTTATCATTTTGTTTTATAATCACTTTTATAGCATATAAAACATACAAGGCTTTTACATAGCCTTGTGCTGGATTATCAGTTGGCTTCTAACTTTGCTATCCTGAGAGGCCTCTTGGGTGTACCAGGCTGTTGCAGAGCCAAGGTTAAAATCAAATTTGATTGAGAATATAATTTCATGGATGATCATCAGCACAATTTTAGGAACGGTCAATTTGGTAAGATCTTCATCTGTTCCAGTTACAGCACTTAGAAGCGCAGAGTGACCGTGTGACTGTAAATGACACCATCATACGTGCTACTTTCAAATTATGTCCAAAAAACATAAATAAATGATAGTGTTAATACATAGAAAACTTTAGAAAACAATTGACCTGATGATTGTGAGATGTCAACAAATCTGTAATACTGCATAATATGTACCATACCCTTTTCACAAAGACTGCTGTTTCCTAGAAAAATAGCATGGAAAGATGGGAGTGTGGTGTTGGGCTGATATGACAAAAGGTCAAGGTTCTTTCATAAATTAAAGAGCTTGGTTCATTCTCAGTATTTTGCCCCTAGTCTGCCTCTCTTCCTTTTCATGTCAGTAGCAAGACATTTCTCAGAAAGAAAAAGAAAGATAAATGGCCACGTCAAAACAGACGATCACAGTACATCGTAGCATTACTAATTGTGTACATGGACACACTTTGTGCTTGCGTCGTTAACTGTGTGTGATGGTTCCTCAGTCCATTACACTTGAGGAAAGCATACATTCTAATGACATTTTGCGCATAACCATTATGCAGCAGTTGTAAATATTTATACCTGAAAAAAATAGATATACCTCAGTGAGCTGAAATTAGAGGGCAAAGGACGAATGAGCTTCCATGTCAATATAATGTAATGATTGTGTGTTTCTGCATTGATATTCTGCTGTGTAAACGCTGATGACAATAGGAAGGCGTACAGATAAATGGGATTATGTCTTTTTGTGTATTTAAATAAGCATCATTGGATAGTATTTCAATTCTGACATGGATTACACATTCCTCATTCCTGCTCTATTAGTTGTCATAATTTCCCGTGTGTGTCTAGCTCATACTGAAAGTGAATACTAGATGCATGCACCCAAACTCTTACATTTCCTGTTTGATATACATACACACTCACACACACAGTCAAACAAGCCTGTCAAATGCACAGCAGCAGAAGTTCCTCTCCACATCCACAGTATGTGGTTGGGCCTGCTCTCCTCATCAATCACGTCTAATACTCTCCCTCACTTGTCCATTTGATATTTGTTTGGTTATTGCCTTTGCTATTATTGTTGCTGTAGTTTGATACATTCCCCGACAGCTCTTATTTCCATTATAAGTCATCAATTAATACAGAGAAATGTAATTATTTTGACAAGGCGTCTAATGCAGGCTGTGGAGATGAGAAATGGATTGTGACGGGGCGTGCTTCAAGCTGTCACATACAATGGTGAATTCTCGCCGACCCTTCCTTACAGCTCCACTCTTCAAAAGTCTTGATCTATTACAGAGCTCCATCTTTCTAGTCTGTATTTTGAGGCATATGTCCCTCTATCTTCCTGTACCCACAGCATTCAGGATCCAGTGCTTTACCTTACATTAACAGATTTGCTTTAACAAGGTTTTTTTTTTTGTTGGTGTGTGGTCGCTTACACATTCCACAGGAAGGAAAATGTAAAGAGTGACAAACTTCTTTCTTTTATTCCTCTTTAATATTCTTTACCGGTTTTTTAGTTCAGTTGGTAACTTTTCTGCACCACAGTAATGATTTCCACCACCACCAAATGTATTAAAAGTGTCAGTTTAACAGCTATTTTGATGGACGTG